TGGCATTTCTGGATTCTGAGCCGCTTCTGCAGGCAGCACAGGTTCTTCTTGAAAACTCGGCCATGGTTATTCTTCTTCGTTGGGCGCCACTATCAGGTTCAATGTTCCGTCTTACTTTCTTCGGGAACATGCAAAGACCTGACTCGGAACAGAGAGCTTACTAAAGCTATGTTCAATAACTGTGGGAAGTAGACAGGATACACAAGAAGGGTATACAAAACCCTTTATTTTTCTCTATTTACAATAAATTCTGTACTTCGGAATACAAAGACCCACTACTTGTGGTCTAAAGGTAAAAATATAAAAATAAACCTAAACTCTAATTTAACTTTAAAATAATAAACGTGGAAGATTGGCCTTATATTAACAGGAAGCCGTATGTAGTACAGAGAACTGTGAACACTACAATACGTTTAAAGTTATCAAGAGGATTAAACCTCTGGCCTGGAAGGCAACCAGCAACTGAGTAAAACTTCTAAGGTAAGCGGCCTGCTTCGACTAACTGCTTCCTCTCTCTCGCTTGGCAAAAAGCCACAACTTAAATACTTGGCATTCGCCAGACTAACTTTGCATAAATACATTAACGCTTATAATTCTGGCCGGAAGTAGAAAATAAGAAGTGATAGTAAAGATTTAAAATAAAATAAACGTTAGTAAAACTTAAGATCCTTACAGCTCTAACAATGAATACAATGCATACAGTATGGAATCAAACAAAAACAGGCTTTATTGAACTCATAGTATCGTTACACATGATTGTCTGTGCAAGAAGAGGAAGAACAACAAGCAGGTATTCCATAGTATGGGATATGCCCTCCCCTTACTGCAATGGTTGCTTCGAACGGTCTCTCTATACTCAGCATCAGATTATCCAACAGATCTTGATGTAAGAGTGCCCATTTCTCAATCAGCATCTGTTTCAGTTGTTGGGTGTTCCTCGGAGGATGTAATCGTGTCACAATAGTCTTCCCAAAGCATCCCACACATGTTCTATAGGATTTCAATAAAGGGAGCATGCTGGTCAAACCATTCGAGTGATATCTTCACTTTTCAGTAGCTTCTGAACAGAAAGAGTCCGGTGTGGCCGTGCATTGTCATCCATATAAACGAAGTCTGCTCCAATGGCACCTCGGAACAGACGCACATGAGGAAGGATCACCTCCTGACGATAGCGATCTCCGGTTACAGAACTTCTGTCGAAAACGTGGAGATCCGTCCGCTCGTCCAGCATAATGCCTCTTCAGACGAGATCTTCAGGACATCGTAACGGTCTCTTTCCGTAATGTTACTGAGATTAAACCGTGTCCCGACCTCTCTCCAAATCAATTTGTGTTGAGAATAGCTTGTGGCACTAAAACGATTCTCATCCGTAAGGAGGATACGACTCCATTGATGAGATGCCCAGTTTTTGCGCTCCTTGCATCACTGTAAACAGTGATACCGATGACCAACTTTCAAAGGAATGCAGCGTTCAGAACGGCAGGCGCATAGGCCCACCTTTGTGAAGGTGTTTGGTCACAGTAAACCACGACAATTGTCGCCCGTTGCTGTTCACAGTTGTTGAGCTGTGGCGCTTTTCTGACTGGTTTCGGGCTCTTTTCGTCTGCAGGACTATATATCGGTTATATTGCTGCAGTTGTTTTCCTGGGGACGGGGCCACCATCAACCTTTCTAAGAGCTGTACCTATGGTATGGAAGACTTTCTAAACGCACGAAACGCTATTTTTTTGATTCCGAACTCTTCAGCTATACTGGTCACACTTCGCCCCTACTCCAGATTTCCGATCATTCTTCTACGTGTGAAGTCATCCAGATCATTTCTTCTAGCCATATTTCACGAAACAACTTCTTTGTACTTGAAGCGAATGTCTTTAATTGCATCTCCATCCTTGGTTGTATGGTAATCTCGAGTTGAGCGCGCCGACCGTACGCTGTTTGCGTACGCTCACGTAGCCTGTGACCTTTTTTTCTTGACATTTATATATGCATGACCTTTCTACTGAATTGTGTGTTCATTGTACTGAACGCAAGAACCCCTTTTCTACAATTTCATGGCTATCTGATTAAAATTTACATTGTTGCTTAAGTTTTGCACACCAGTGTATTAACTTCCAACTCTTCAGCTCAATTAAATTTTCCTTGGAAAAATTCCTTTAAAATTCCGAAGTCGACCGAAAGTTAGTGATGAATCATAAATCCTTAACCAACTTCCTATCATCCTTACCATCTTAATCAACTTCTTCTGTAATGTACAGAAATTGAAAATAAATAAGTATATATAATCTAGTAAGTATGTATGAATTTCTATGATATTTTTACGAACCCGGTTTTTACGAGCAGTCGGTTATAACGAGCAAATATGGCGGTCCCTTCGCACTCATTTTAAGCGTGTTCGTATGCAATATTGTAGTGTAAATTCGAGTGTAATTAATGATGTTGCCATCCAAACAGTGCTACCATTAATTTCAGATTTCCTCGTGTCTTCATTCCCAACTGCTGCTAAGAAAGAAGCAAGATTTCCGTAAGTCCAAACGAGATAGATATCTGAAAAAACTATCAATTCTGAAAATAGCATGCGAGCTTGCACGCTATTGTTTAAGGGGACGGTGGAGGATGGTTTTAGCAAAAACCGACCAAAAATTGGGAAATAAAAATTTCATATGATGATATTCTACGGTTTGAACTCTATCGTCTACAAAAAACCGCTTGTGTGTAAAGTTATTTTTAAAGAAGTTATAAGCATTTGAATGCGCTTGTTTACCTTTTTTGTGACATTTAAAGGGACATTTAAATGTCAGTAAAAAGTTAAACAAACATTTGAGAAACGTTATTTTAATTTCCGCGACTAATAAGCAAGATATAATTGTGTAAGATATGAAGACCGCAATTTATGCAAGTTTGTTTTTCACTGTTCCTCCACGCATGACTCACCTAGACATTATAAATGACCAATAGGTGGCATATCATTTTTTTTAAGTATCATTGCCAGAAATAAGTCACCTAAATCTTATTTGATGATAAAAACCAAATTAACAGTAGGTGTTTTATCTAGAATACTGCCAGTGTATAAAATACTAGCCAGAAATGAACTTTTAACAAGATGCATAATTGGAGAAACATAAAATACTAACCAGAGTTTACATAGTGTCATTTGAAAGAACTCCCTCAGAGAAACATTCGTAGTGAAAACGGGTTCGAAATAGCTATTATCACAGCAATTAGGGACTTCAATTTTGAGTGTTTAAATACGTTAGATATGGAACAGGACGATTATAAATTCATGTTCAATATCTACTGGATAGAGGCAAGATACACGTCGATGCACGACCGATGCAAAAAGAGGTTGTCCGTCTGTATACAAGAAAAGAAGAATTACCAAAAAAATAAAACTATGTAAAGTAGCTAAACATAATGAAAATGTAAACAAGGAAGTGAAAATCATAAGGTGCAGGAAGTTCCTAAAGTGATTCTTAGTTTTAAAAAAAGTATTTAGTTGAATTTGCTGAAAGTGTTCGAGAAAATTTCTAAAATAATATTAAGTATTTCTTACCATTCTACGATTTTATTACTAGAAAAATTATTTATGCATACGTAAAATAATGTTAAAATATTTTATATTAAATCAAATCATGTATTAGGACAAACTGAGAAGTAAATATTAAAGGTAAGCGTAAAAATATTCTTAAAATGCATTTTTCTTATAATGAAATTTTCGTGATTATTACATCTTTAACAAGATGCACTTTAGTTAGTTTAGTCATCTCCATGCACTTTAGTTTATGTTCAAAATGATTGTAATTTGTAACTTAGATTCCCATTTATACATGTAACAAAAGTTAGTATGCATTTTTGAATGCAAATTCATTAAGAGGACAAAAGTTCAATTAAAGTGTATTAAAGTGGAAAATTTTGTCCAAAATTCAGGTACATGTGAAAGAAATATTAATTAAAAACTAAGATTTTATGCAATTCACTATTTGATACTAAGTTGTGTTTGTATTGCCTTTTCAATAAAAAATAAAGCAAAAATTACAAGAAACAGAAAAAAATTAAGTCGCATGGAGCATTTTGAAAAAAAAATTAAAATTAAAACGAAATTTTAAAAAAAAATTAAATTACAATAAGCCAAAAATATTTTCAAAGATATTTGATATAACTAAAGTAAAGTATATATGCATGCAAAGTTTTATATCTCTATCACAATAATTAAAAAAAGTATTTGAACGTCCACTGTCCCCTTAATGTAATCCCAAAATAAAAGACTCCTTTGTGTCGTTCGTGTTCTAAATATTATCTTAATCTACTGTTCTCTCACAAAGTTACTCATATAATAATGCTGCTGAGGAAGCTGATGGTATATGTGCAGTATTATATTTGAGCTTGAGATAAGTTAGTATTAATTTAGTTCGAGCTCAGTCAACTTTAGTATTACATAATAGAAACAGCTCATAAGTGCGAGTGTCTATTGTCACACATAAGGCCAATAAAAATATTTTGGAATTTTTACTGCTTTACTTTTAATGAATATGCTTTTTCCAAAATAGTTTCAGATGAAGTTAAGCCACTTGTGCTGTGAAGCTGCCTTGTGAAAATGTGTGTACTAAAAATATAAGTTATATCGTCTGTAAGACCCTTGAATACTGGGAATTCGATGCCAGACGAACGAGATAGTTGCACTCTTGGTATTCATGATTTTTCTTACGTGTAACGTGAATACGGGCTAGTTTCTCTTAAAAAGTCTTGCACGAAAGCATCCTTCCCTTAGGCAGGTAGCTGTCGTATGCTTTGCTCTACTGAAATACTAGCTAGCTGAACTATTACTTAAGATCAGACTTGTTTATCTCTTAATTCTTATATTAAATTTCACATTCTTCAATAAATATCCTGCACTTTGTTAACAGTATTTATTTATTTTTGGCTTTTATGTTTGAAAATAAATGATCGCTGAAAACATGCTGAAAGCATGTAAAATTGCTGTCTATATTTTCTTTCTATTCTAGAAGAACATTGCACGGACTCTGATATTCAGCTAATTCTTCAATATTTGGAGAGATGTTTGACAATATCAGGCCGAAAAGTGTATGTTGACATTTTTTATTGTTATTAAATATATCACAAGCAATATTCCCTTCTTCTCCCCCCCCTAAAAAGAAACTATTGAGAGCTCCCGTTTTTTTAACTATGAGATACTTCAAGATAATATTTAGTTCTTTTCTGCTCGTGGTTTCTAAGCATTTATATTTCGATGTAGAAATTACTTGAACCTTTAAATGAGTTGTATTTTCAGGTATGAGTTATTAAGATGTGTGAAACAGTATACTCCTAAGTGCACTTTTACAAAATGGGATAATTTTGCTGTACTTTATGACCAGATAATAGACATGGCAAAGACGTTTCCAGGTATGTTTTCAGAAGAATATTCACATTAATAACAAGTGGACATTTGCTGTTATTCAATGGATTACTTAAATATTATTTATTTAAACAGCTTCACATGACGTAACAAAGACGTTGCAAACTGATCCGAGAGGTTGCAAAGTGGTCGTGCTAACTTTTATGACGTCTTTACAGCGTAGCGAAGACGCAAAATATTTGCCGTTGCAACTTGGCAATTTGTCGACGTCGCTGAAACGTCATGATGTGACCGCTTTTAGACGTGATTGTTTTAGCACCTTTTCCATAGTTCATCAGCGTTACTTTTAGAATGAAAAGAGACTAAATCTGCCCTTTCAAGAACCTGAAATCCGCATAATATTTATTTGGAATGTTTTATTACTTTATTTCATCTAAATATATTAATCTAAGGTAGATTCATCAAATGAAATATTTAATATAAATACTTTTGATTTATTAAATTTAATTAGTACTAAAAATACGTGCTAAATTATTGTTTAAATTTTGCTAAAAAATTAATACTTAAATATTTTTTATAAATATTATAGCAAAATATTAAAAAATGCAACTTATTCTATAAAGTAAGTTTTAAGTTATGCGTTTTATATATTTTAAAAAAAATCACATTTCCGAATCAATGCAATCACATGTAGCCAATTATTCATTGCTGAAATATGACTTTAGTTATTATTTTTCAAGTAAAGACGAATTTATTTGAATTAATATGCTGACATAATATGAAACATTTTACCACATGCAGAGCAAAAAGTACAATTTTCGCGAAGATATGATTGTGCGTGAAGATGTATTCACGGATAAAAATGGGGCGTATTTAAGAATTCCGATAAAACGTCCAATTTTCAAAAACGATGCATATACATGCATATTTAACGGCTGTCCAATATGTCTGACGGAAACCTCACCGACAATCAGAAGCAGAACGGAAAAATTAATGGAAAAGGAGAAAGAAATATCAACACTTTTCATGGAAAACGACAAAATTAATGGCTTTGATAAATTACTAATAAATGTTGACATCAAAATTAAAGAAATTGTAAACGAAAATACGAAATTCATTACCTTTAAAAATTCTGATGAACTGTTTGTTATGTTTTTACGTTTTTGTCCATCTTCATGCATTCAAAAATGCTTGATTTAATCCTAGTATAATTATGCGATATTTAATTGTGTAATATTAAAAAGCACTAAATATTTTTTATTGATTGCAAATTCAGTTTTATTATTTGTCGTTTATTATCTATTCTTCCAAATAATGTGTAATTCGCGGTTTTTTTTTTTTTTTTTTTTTTTTTTTTTTTTTTTTTTTTTTTTAATATTGCTGTTATGTATGTCTTTAGGTTATCTCAATGAATGAATGTTGGAAATTAGGTGTTATTCTTTATTAAACTTAAGTATATTCTATTTTTTTCGCCTACATTTTATGTGCATGTAATAACTAGGAAATTCGTAATAAACAGTAACAAAAAGTTTCATCATGTGCTATTTAACGAAAAGCTTACTCCTAATATACGTAGCTTATTATCGTATACTATATTATTTAAATTATTTCTGTACGGTATCAAAAGTAAAGTTATTGATTGTAAAATGTGAATGAAAGGGTCATTGTAATCTACCACTATTCTAAAATGTAGAAAATAAAAATAAGTAAATACATTTATTGAAAGAAATAGCGTTAAGAAACACATCAGCATTACTAGTAAATATTGCAACCATAATTATTGAACTTTTAATGGCTTACTATTTAAAAAACGCAAATAATGTTTTATTAATTGGAAATTTCAGTTTTGTTACCTTCCTTCTGCTATTTATACTTTCAAACACTGCTAGTTCATGTATTTTCTTAAATAGTGCTATCATGTGTGTTGTTTGTTAGGTTATTATTTTATTTTATATATGAATATGGGAAGTTTTTTGGTTATTAGATTTAGGTACATATTTGTATGAAATATTTTTGATCAAATTTATTAACTACATTATGCACTCTTTCATTTGCATATCTTGCAGATATAGATGTTAATGGTTACATTTTTTATTATGAAATGCGAATAAATTTATACTTGAGTTCAGGTACATTACTGATTATGTTACCTTACGCTTCCTAATTTATCATGACAGGGGCAATTTTCATTGTCTCTGAGATTTAACAGGAATAAATGTGATAAGGCTATTATAATGAGAAACGCTCTTTTTTTTTACCCACATATATAGCTTTACTTTTATTTATGTCTGATTGAGTTTTATTTACTTAAAACCTACCATTATTGTTATATATATTTATAATAACGACTTTCATAATTACTCTCGCCCACCAGCGGCCGAGCGGTAAAGTCGCTGAACACTGGTAGTTCGGTCCGAGGCTCGAATCCCGCGAACGGGCTGGCTGCATGGGCGTTTTCGTGGTTTACCCCATGTGTAACGTGTATACGAGCTAGTCTCCCTTAGAAAGTCCTCCACGGAGACATCCCTCCTCTTAGGCAGATAGCCCTCGAGACTTTGCCATAATCACACACACACACACACACACACATAATTACTCTCACTTACATACTAAATGATTAAGAAAAAAAAATGATGAAATCTTAAATAATCTATACTTTTTAATAAACTATATTTTTAAACCACTTAAATTCTAAATCGTAACTTTATTTAAGTTATTTAAAAATTATAGTTTAAAGTACTGAAAATAATTAAGGCTATTATTAATTCTGCATATTTAGTCTAAAGAGGAAAATTTGTATTATCTTCTTGTTTTCAGGAAATGATAAAATATTTAAACTTACAATACTTAAAAAGAAAAATACAACTTACTTAAAAAGAAAAATACAACGAATACAAACTTTTAAAAAAGAAGAAAAATACATTAATTATTAAGCTTATTTTTCTGCACAAATCATTATGTAGCACAAGGACATTATAACGATGTTTTCACAACTGTTGCAAAAAGGTCGAATTCTGCGAACATGTAGGCGTCGTTAAGACGTCGTGATAGGATGCTTTCACAACCAAAATATAACCTGAGAAAGACGCAATAACGACGTCTATTCTACATAAACCTCATCTGCAAAGACGTAATAAAGACGTCTTTGCAACAGTTGCAAAACAGGTGGAGTTTCGCGGACATCTGGGAGTCTTAAAAACGACATATTGCAACGTTTTTGCAACGACATTTGCGACGAGTTTGCAACGTCGTTACGACGTTGCCGGGATACTTGGCATCCTGTATAGATATATGCTCATTTTTTAAAGAAATAACAAAAATTTTCAAATAATTAAAAAGGATGTGTAGTATCGCAAATAAAATACCCTATAAAGTATTTTCTCCCTCCTTCCAGCAAGCCTTTGTGGCGTGACCGTAGCATATTCGGCAGGTATTCGAGAAGATCAGGATCGAGTTCCGGCGATGCCACTGCACATTTTTCACATATCCTGCTTCAAAAAAAACTTATGTCTCTGCAGTGGCGCCAGAACTGAAAGGTGGTGGACAATAAATTGTCCCCATCAGAACTTGCCGATTGGATCCCCTAATTCCTCTTTAAAAGGAGAAGTGTATAAGGTTTTCTCCCTCTTTCCAGTATACCTTCGTGGTGTAACGGTAGCACACTCGGCGGGTATTCGAGATGTCTAGGTTCGAGTTCCGGGTAGGGTATCGCACATTTTTCACATCTCCTGCTTCAAAATAACGCAGTGTCTCTACAACCTAAATAAGTGTATTAAGTCTTACATAATCGGGTGAGAATGCAACATGTGCTGGATAACTACTGCTTCCAATATTCTTATATATGTTAGGTTTTTTTTATGATCCTCTTTTTCTACCATTTCCTTTGATTTTATAAGTTTCTGGGGCAGTGTAATAAATTTAAATGTCGAATTATGTTGAAAAAATAAACTTCAAAATCCAAGAGTTTTAATTCGCCTTTCACTTACTAATTTTTTTTTGAAGATTTTAAATTTATATACACTTTTAAAACTTGCATGAAACGCAAATTTTGTTTTCATTAAATATTTTTAATATTAACTAACATTTTTCGTATTGTTATTCCTATGGGAAAGATTCGCGAGATTCTAAATTTTCGAGATTCAAAAAACCTTTCAGAATAAGGATTCGGCAAAATTTAGGATTTGTTCTTCGTCGGTAACATTATTTGCTAATCACTTGATTGTCTTGTCATTTCATACTTTGTTGAAAAGGATTGCAGAGATAACATCCTGTAAAAAATTAAATTTTCAGAGGTTTTAAAAGAATGACATATCATAGAGTTTAATTAAATAATGCTAAAACTTACTTAAGTCTGCAGTTTTTCTGAGAGAAAACGAATTTTTTCCTTCCGTTTCTTATTAAAATATGAATTCAGTTTTTGATCAATATGAAATTTCTCTATATCTGTGACGCATTGTATCTCGTTTTTTCTGATTTTAATACTGATTAATATCAGAAATATTGTTACGAAATGTCCAGGCGCGGTAAGATAGCTTCCCTGCAAAGCAGATTTAGAGTTACCACATTTGGCGAGAAATCGCCCATTTGGCGACAAAATTGGCGGTATGCCATAGACGGATGAAGAACCTTCTGGAACGAATTCTTGCAGGTTTACCCCAAAATGTTCTTGAGCGCATGCCAAAAGCTGCTGTTACGCGCAGAGTCAGACAGTGAGTGTCTCGTCTAGCGAGCTGATAGTCAGTCAGTGAGTGGCTAGTTGAGTCAGTGAGCGAGTGTCTCGAAGTCTAGTGCTGAGATGGTCATTGAGTGCGTCGAGAGAATCTTTTCGAGTATTTCGAGTTGGTGCATTGTCGAGTTTTATCTTAGAGCGCATTGAGCTCCGAGAACGACCGAAATGAGACGGGAGTTGTACTCTAGTGTATTGTGAGTTGTAGCGTGGATAGTACGTAGAGTTCCAAGAACGACTGAGTAGAGTCGGGAGCTATACTCTGGTGCTTTGCCGTGAAGCTGTCTTCACCATTATAGCCTAAAGGATGTGTCTGATTGTTTTAGCGTGTTTATGGTAGTTTTTCGGCCACTGTAAACGTGTTATTGGAGCTGTCTTGAGTAATACTGCCTAATAAATTGTGTTTCGATACTTCATCAAAAGTCGTCATTATTCACTCCAAATCCACGAACTCATACCGTACGTAAGAATAAAAACGTAACAATATTATTGTATCTCGTTCTTTCTGATATTTAATTCTACTTTCGCCTTCATTGTTTTCACTCTTTAATACTGTATCCATAATATCTTGGTGTGAGATATTTTCAAGTCATATTGTCTTTTTGAGATTACTCTTTTAAGTTTTCTCCTACATTTCTAAAATCCTTAGCATGCAAAATGATTTCGATATTGCTTGATGTTGTAACTTTTTTATTTATGGAACCTTCTTCTTCGCTAAACTAAATTTTTCTCCAGTCATGAATTAATGTAAACTCTTTACTTCATCTTCAAATAGTCATCTCAATCTTCAAATAAATTTACTTCATCTTCAAATATCACTTTCATTCCTGATAATTTGAAACTACTTACGGACCAGGCACGAATATCCCAAACACGGATAAATTACTCATACGCATAAAATCAGGAGTATTAAATATTTAAATTATTAAGTAACTTATTAGTTAATTCATAGTATTGAAACAAAACATGGAGAGGATTTTTAAAAAAAACAGCGTAGGATTTTATTTATTTTTACTAATAGTTATTTAATTTATGAACCTTTTCTGTTTTCTCTTATTCCCCTCGGGTTTTCTCAACAGAATGTAAATGAGTTAGGCTGAGTGAGAATATTTAAACTATTGCAGCAAGAATCTTAGTCAGAGAGCGTTATTTCGATACATGAGCCCGCGTAGTTAGTTTTTTCCAGCTGTTAATCTTAAATATCCGCTACCCATTCATGCCGCTTAGTTCATTTCCTGCCAGTATAGGTCATGTGCCAACCTGTTTGATTAAATTGAATGGCGTTGTCTTGTACTACTCTTATCTTTAAATTTAGTATTACGTACCTTTTAAATTCTCCCTGAAAGTGGTCGATGTTTATAAGCATGTAAGTCCATGCCGTCTGTAAATTGTATTGTGTAAAGGGTCTTTTACACCCTTTCCCTGGTTGTGTACATCTTCAAACCTGTGCGAGAATTCGCAAGGATTAACACTTAGGTAGATCTAGTTGCATTTTATATTGGTCAAAAAAACTAGGTCCTACAACAATATAAGCTTCTTATCCTTGAAACTTTAGCCTCATCAGTGGTCGAGTGGTTAAAAACACTGAATATTGGTAGCTTGACCGAAATATGAACCCAGGCGAACGAACTGGCTATGTGGTTTACTTTTGTTACTTTCGCATGTGTGATGTGAATACGTGCCAGTTTCCATTAGAACATCCTTCATCGAGGCACTCGCTCTCCTAAGGCAGATAGGCCTTTGCTTTGCCATTATCAGATAACATCATCTTATCGAAATATGAACTTTTTATTTCTGATTATTTACCTAATTTTATATACTTTGTGTCCCTTTCACTTTTCAAACTGTTGCCACTAAATGTTAGAGTCCTGCATTATATTTGAAAAAGTTAAATAATGAAAAATATGCATAAATGTATGTATATTTCAAAATCGCAATAACAACCTTGTATTTCGCGTACATTTATTAAAACACTACCATACGCTTAAGTCGTAACTTACAAAATCGGTTCTTGTCATTGGAGATATTGTGAAAAGGGTGCAAACAAGAAACAAGTGAACAAAAGAATATATAATCGCGAAAGTCCAAAAAAGCAAATATTATAACATGAAAAACACCAGTAATTAATGAAGACAATTTACATAAACATATGACAAAACATTCAAAAGTAGAGAAACTTACTCAAATCTGAAAAGCCAATAGCCACGTGGAAAGAAGCAACGAAAGTCAAAGTGGTGCACGTGGTGAAACGATACTAAATTAGAATTTCCTCGAAAACGCCGGTTGATAGCACAAACCAATTCTGAAAAACCAATAGCCACGTGGAAAGAAGCAACGAAAGTCAAAGTGGTGCACGTGGTGAAACGATATAAAGTAGAATTTCCTCGAAAGCGCCGGTTGATAGCACAAACCAATTCTGAAAAACCAATAGCCACGTGGAAAGAGGCAACGAAAGTCAAAATGGTGCACGTGGTGAAACGATATAAAGTAGAATTTCCTCGAAAACGCCAGTTGATAGCACAAACCAATTCTGAAAAACCAATAGCCACGTGGAAAGAAGCAACGAAAGTCAAAGTGGTGCATGTGGTAAAACGATATAAAGTAAAATTTCCTCTAAAATGCCAGATGATAGCGCAAACTAGAATAGAAGAGAAACACGCCAATGTGACAATCAAAATCGCGAAAACAACCTTGTATTTCACGTACATTTATTAAAACACTCAAAAGTGAGTGTTTTAATAAATGTACGATTTTGATTGTCACATTGGCGTGTTTCTCTTCTATTCTAGTATGTATATTTCTCGCATTGTGATAAAACAACGGTCCATAGAATTTTGAATGACGTAATCCTGCTGCGAATATGGGCATGTGGAAGCTCAAATTAGAAATTTGGTATTTGTTTTATTATCGATTTCCTATTTTGTAAAACTTTAAACGATTTTTTTATTAACAAACTCGAGAATTTCCAAGAGAGCAATGGCAACGTTGTACAGAAAAACATTTTTATTTCCAGCGCGCGAGACTCTATATGGAAAATTCTAAGGATATGCTCAATTTAAAACTATTTTGCGATATTGCTCTTGAACTGAATTTTAATAAATAAAACGTGATATTTAATAAATAATAAATAAAAGTAACAGACAAAATGTAAAATACCCCCCCCCTTTGGACGTAATGTAAAATCTGAAACCTTTCAAATTTCTCTCTCTTTTTTGTATTATTGTTTAGTCTTTTCTCCAAGTCTTAAAATGTATATGCAACTTTAAAGTTGAATTTACTCTCTACATTTTAGCTCTCCCATTCTAATTCCCATGCAATTCCTACCGCAGGGAGTTTCAGGCGTGCTCTTGTATGATTTGTCAGAAAACCGAAGGCTTAGTGTTAAATCTCTCTAGCTCTGTGATTTCATCAACTTTAAAGGATTCATCGTGGATCAATTAAAGTTTTGAGATTAAAAGCTGTAGCAGTTCAAAAGTTAAATAATTTGCATGTGTAAAATAATCAGGCGTTGGCCGTTGAGTAAGAAAATAAAACATCATAGACACTTTGTTTATGTTATAAAAATTAAATTTACTCACCTTATCTAGAATATCGCTGAAACGTCATTAATATTTATACATTCATTTAAAGAATAATAATTTTAATGAAATGAGTTATGTACAAATATTTAAAAGTTGTGATAAAAATTTCTTGAAAGTTATTTAACAGTAGTTTTGTTTTATTTTTTAGGAGTTGATCAAAATTGCATGGAAAACCTTGACTCTACGCGCACAAGAAATTGTGCAAAACAAATGATTGAAGTTGTGTCAGTATTTCATAGCTCCGCGACAGATGTTGATGAGAGGTAGATATTTTGTTTACTATTATTTCTTACATATTTTATTCATTTCATTACGGAATTTTATTGCATAGTAATAGGGAAAAGAAAAGTATTCGTGTGGTTTTATCTTAAATTATAGTGGTCACTGTTCAACAAAGGTTTTGTCACTGAATAACTAGAGCTCGTTTCCTATACATTCGCGCACATTCGTTAATTTCAAGTGTGCACCCACATTTTACCATTACTCATGGCTTTTTGAGTAAAATCACTAGTTAATATATGATTGCTCCTCGACAATATTGGTCCTCGGCAGAGTGATAAAGTCGCTGAACGCTTTTAGTTCGGATCGGTATTCGAATCTCGGTGAGCATATTTCGTAAGTGCACATCTGTATCGCCATCGAGTAAGTGGTTTCTAGAATGGACCGATAGGTTTCCAGTAATATTTCTGTCATTTCACGTGCCCTTTGCTATATCTTAAACAAGATGGTTGGAAATGCTTTGCCAGGTAGTTTCCTGTATAAATTAATTAAAGCATAGGGGATTTCTGGTGAAAATTCTCCGGGGGAAGTTAGATCAAATATAACTTCTACTATTTATATATATAATAATTATATATATAAATAGTAGAAGGCTTAGCATTTTTTATTGCAGTCTATATGAAAAAGATGTTCTATAATAATATAATAACAGCCAATGCACAGTTTTATTCAAACTGAACTTTCCTAATTTGCATTCCTACACACTTAGTATGTTAAATTTTACATTAATAACTCTTCATTCTTAGACATATTACCTGCACAAGAAATACTCTTCAAACAGAGTGATTTTATGTTATCCACGATGAATATATTTAATCTATTCATACGTAACTTTTAATGTTAACAATAGGTTTAATCATATCATTTACAATATATATTTTGACTCTTACACTTTCAAAATCAAAGGAATGCAAGCACTTAGATAAAAAAAATACCGGGTTCTTTGTAACACTTCCAGTTATTCCAGCTTAGTAAAACAAATTATACACTTGAATTCTCTTCATCCATAAACTTAATTCATAACCCTCTTAATCCATAAATGTTAGTAAATGCATAATATTCGAGACTAATTATAGCTTGAGTCATTTTCTTGGTGTAAAGAACGATAATATGCAACGAACATTAATCCGAATATCAGTACTTGACAAGTTTTGCGAGAGTGAAATGTTGACGATTAAATAAACTTATATATTACTTCGCCCGGTTGAAGTTTCTTATGGCACATAGGAATACGTCATCCCGCCTATATGAGTATCAGAATCACATAGAAATAACGACTCTTTCCAGGTTAATGACCACCTTACATAAATACGGCTTATAAGCAATTTTCTGTGCTGCTGTCTAAAGCTAAGAGGATCAATTTCTGTTCCTGTTTTTTCTCCGTTCTGAGAGGGTGGGGGCAAATATGAAGGAGAACTGTACTAAAAACATCGGAGCACACCATAGCAGACATGAGAGTCGCGAGAGTGAAAATGATCTACACTCAAAACTTCGGAGCGGCTCCCACTTCTCAAATTCTTTTGCCTTGTTCTGATCATCTTATGCGGGTTATTCCATAATTTCTTAGGAAACGTTGATTTTTCTCATCTCACCTTCTACGTTCTTTGGATTTCACATCCTTAAAATATCTTTTACTAATACATTTATCTTCAAATCCTGCCTCACATTTTCGAAGTTATCTAGCTCCTCCGCTAACACGAGCGGTGATTTAATTTTTCCAAATTCATTTACGTATTTCTCTTTGGCTTCAGCACTCGAGTTTTTTTTTAATCTAGTCCACAGCCATTAGTTCTTTCAGCTCAACAAAACTATTAACTTCTTTTCTTAGCCATCCATCAAGCTACGTCTGAAATTCAACGCAAAAACTTTCCACCAATCCGTTGACCTTTTTTTGTATGGCTTACAAATTTTTGCCTTAGAGCTTCCGGATTTAAATGGTAACGATTCAACAAACCCCGTTTAATTTTAACATATTCTCGCGTTTCTTCTGTCATTTTCGAATTATTATTACCTCCATTGGCAAAATAGCCACAAGTTGGGTCGCCCATTCGGCTTTTGATAAAACTATACATTCTTATTGGCCAGAGAATACGCATGCTAAGAACGAAAGCTTCTCAACAGGGGTGGCTCCATCAGACCACAGGGAAAAAATACTCAACGTTTAAATTACAGGGGCTATTCATCCAGCCATAATAGTTTTTGCACAAAACAGTTGTTGAATCGATGTCGAAGGTCACTTTTTCAAGAGCTCAAAGAAACCATTTTTCCCCGCCGTATCGATGTAAATCAAATCAGTGATCTGTTTAAATAGATTACTGAATAGATTGTTTATTTTGAGTATAAAATGTACGAAAATCTGAGTTTTTATTATCCCGAAAAGTTTTGTCAAAGAACAAATCTTATAAGTTCTTTGATTTTGTACCGTATATTCAATTTCCTATACATTAGGCGATTTGGTGACGAGACCTGGTGCCGAGAATTTTTCCCTCCGGGATACAGTGGAGCAGTAGTCAAATTGGTTCATGTTATGTCTATGAAAGCTTTCCTTCTTTACATACACCTGATTTGAATTAGCACTGAAAAAGAGCAAAATTCAAGCTATCGGCATGATTCTTTTCATTTGCTGAAAAGGATTGTCTGATAGATTGGGAGTGGATTCTGTAATGCTCATCGTGTTTGTATTTGTTAACCATTCTAGATCAAAGCGTCTCTTCTTTCCTCTCTCTCTTCTCTGTCTCTCCTTTTCTCCCTTTCTTCCATCTCTCCCTCTTTTCTTCTCAGTAATTGTCAAGAACAGTCTTAACCTTTTCTTCTTCATAACCTTAACTAAGAATTACAGAGCTGAATTGTTCTTTTCTTACTTCTGGGTTTATACCAAGACAAAAATCTTTTCAATTACTAAATTACAGTTCAATACGTCTAGTAGATATAAATTTCTCTTAAACAAATTTTGCAGATTGATTCATATACAATTTCAAGCCCAAATTTTAAACTCTGTTCCTTTAAAATAGTTTTACCTTTTAAGTTCCCTTAATTAATAAAGCCTAAAGATTATGAAGATTAACAAGAAGTGCCCACGTGAGCCGTCTTCTTCTGTAGCACAGACACCACACTTCACTACAGGAATTTTCGTTGTTGCTCCTCCAGACTTAAGCTGATAATGATCTAGCGATCCTTTTGGCAGTCGCGTGCCTTCAATGTCGAATTTCTTCTTTTGCGACCAAACTCCTAGCTGCGGACTTCTAGCTGCTATCTGAAAGCACGGGTACTGTCATCAACTACAGGATTTTCATGAAACGCCTCTGTTGAAAGGCTGGAACTGTCATATTTAAAACCCTTTTCACTATCTCCATAAAGTTAGCGAGACCCACAACCCACAATCCATATCGCTGCCATTGCTCGTCTGCAATATCATAGACTGTCACAAAAATCCCGACTGCGAATTTAAAGGCGTGAAACTTTTACTGCTTGACTAGTATACACACGAGAAATTATTTATAATCAAAATCATTAAAGAACCATCAATAATACATTCTCGTCTCAGGTATTTCCGAAAACACGTTTTCACTAACCTAACAGTTTTCACCAGAAGTGAAAGTCTGTCTACTGTCCGATGCGGAGGCTTCTTTTATGCTCGCAGCGCAAGGGAATATGCGAGTCTGACCATGCGGCATTAAGGCGTGGCTAGGAGAAAAAGTTTTGGAATGTCCGTTACGTGCTGTGAGTTTCACAACGTGGGAAATTCTATGCCTAACTGACCACATGTGTGTAGAACACATTAAAATTCGCTGCTTTTACCCCATTCTTACATTCACTTTTTTTAAGTGACATAATTTTTCTCCACCTCTTAGGAGAAATTTCGAGAATTCCGTATAAGAATTACTTTGTAATTTAAAGTTTGCAGCTTACACAAGGAAAAACCATCCTTGCAATGAATCATAGAAAATTCATTGCAATGTTCGCTTTATTGAATTGACCAAATGGAGATGAACAGATGTTGTATAGAATTTTAGTGGATGCCACAGTTTTGTACCTTACCGCAAATCTAGCAATAGAAAGTTATTATAATACCACAGTATATATTACAATTAATGTTATACAGTTTCTTTATGCAAGTTTTCATTCACTCATTGTCACTGACATCATCTGAAAGCTTGATTCTTAAGGTTCTCTTTTTTCCCGGGATTACCGTAATATTTTCATAAATATTCGAATATAATATTCAAAAAGCATTCGTTAATCTTTATCGATTTATCTGAAATTCAAGAGCACTAAACCTTCGCCGCAATGAATTATATTACCTAATGGCTATCTATCTGCACTTTAACTGGAATCTAAACCTGAGCATCAGGTAGACTCCAGGGACAGATAGACATACAGACAAAGAAGAAAAGAGAGACGCGAAATTTATATTTGGATTGTCAGATGTTAGAGGTAATTTTATTGGCCTCTGTAGGGAGGCCCAACATAAAACAATCAATCAGTCAGAAGGGAGAGACAATTCAATCTCGGCGCATCACTTCATGTTATCTCTCTTCTTGATTTACTAATCTCCAAGGCTTTTCTCTCCTAAACCGCTGTTCAAGACCACTTCCGGTACCAGACCGTGACGTTCACCAATAACATTCATTCCACATACGTTCTCTTACTGGACAGAAAGTCATTTGGTTCCTTTCAGCACAGCAAAGTTTCTAGAAAAGAATTCTGGATTGTCAAGTAAAGAGTTAATTACTATGCATGCATGCATCATGCAATAATATCCTTACAGTGACCAATATGAATAGTTGATATTGCTACTTTATCAAAATTTCTATTACACTCGTGGGCAAAATTAGAAGATTATGCGAATTATGTCCATTTTTATGAAAAGTATTGAATCAAAGGTACTAATTATGCCACCGAAGAATTTTTCAGGTATTCAGGTTCGATTACGTAAGTGTACTTCTGCGAGTCTGTGAAGTTGCGAATATGGAGGGGTACAAGCGCGCAAGGGGCTTTTGGCAATTTGAGTGCTCTTAGTCCTTTATGACGCTCGCCGTGTTTCTCACAAGAGTTAGGTAAATTTTATAAAGTGAGTAACCACGAACGTGTACATGACGGAATGAGATGAAGAATTATCGATAGATTAGAGGCAGGCCAGTCACATGCTCAGCTGGCTACAGAACTCAGCGTAACTCTCCTACTCATCTTTAGTTTGTGGGAACAGTTTCGAGACACTGGATTCATATCGAGAAGACATAGACAAAGTCGACCAAGATCCACAACGACGAATGAGGACCGTTGTCACATCAGCTGTATGCTGCCATTGGAACCCAAGATTCACGCTCTACGATTGTCCGAAGGCTACATGAGATAGGGTTGTATGCCAGAAGACCCGCTGTTTGTTATCGTCTTACGTAGCACATAAGAGACAGCTTTTAATATAGTGCAGACAAAATCGCGTTGGACCATAGCACAGTATTTTTTACAGATGACTCGAGATTCAGCCTGAACATTGATTCTCGGCGTACCCGTATCTGAAAGTGCCTGGAATGCGATACCATCTCTCCGTCATCAGGGAAAAGGTTCATTACGGTTGTAGAAGAGTAATGGTTTGAGCAGGCATTATGTTGGTCAGCCATGCACCCTACATGTGTTTGACAAAGGCTCCATGACAGTTATAAGGTATAAAGACGAGATCTTAGAGACCTATGTTCGACTTTTTAGAGACGCAGTTGGTTCTGGGTTCCATTAATGGACGACAACGCTCGTCCTCTTAGGGTTAAGCTGATCGACGATTATCAGGAAAGTGAGGATATTTGCCGCATGCACTGGTAAGCCAGATATTCTGACATAACCTTATACACCATGTCTGGGTTGCTTTTAGGATGGCAATTTTATTTCTTTATCTCCCTCCGAGAACCATCTAGGAGTTTAAAACTGCTTTCCTGCAGGAGTGGGATTGACTACCCTAGAGATTCCTCAACTGCATCCCGTCACGCTGCGAGAACTATCTGGCTGTAAGAGGGGACCATAACCCCATATTAGAACCATTTTCAGTTTGATATGACAACGTGGATTTTCGACATCCCTGCATTATGAACTTTACTGATAATCATGCACGGAAAAATGAATTTTGTATAGTTCTGCTCTTTCTCTGTTATAAATGTATTTTAATACTAAATTACATTAAAATATGTCTATTAGCTTTCATAAATTCGACATACTGGGCATATTCTTTTAATTTTGCCCCCGAATGTAATATTCTACATTGCCTGAGAGGGGAACTGTCGCACCAGGAATTTGCAAACGCATTGGCATGAAAATGTCTGTGAGTGTGTGCATATACAAAATACGCAACTTACATTTGCAAGCCAATTAGAACAATGGTACGCGGGATATAAGTAATAGAACAACATAAATTTCGGCATTGTCACAACTATAATACGCGAATAAATATAATGTTTCTGAGTCTGTTGAACAAAGATAATATTCTAACACATCGTCATACACAGTATCAGCAAACGAACAAGTTCACAAAGCACTTCATATTAAGCCTTTGTACACCTAATTGTTTCAACAGAGGTTTTGAGCAGTAAATGCAAGGTCATGCTAATATTGCTGGTCGAATTTGCAGGTAACTGACCGAGGAGAGAAATGGGGAAATATGCAGAGCTTTACCGAGTCCAGAGTGAAGAGGCAGACATCAGAGCGCATTAATCTGTGCATACAAGGTCACACCGTGTGTGAACCATAATCTACAACTAGACACATCGCGAGAAACGTCGAGTTTTCGAAGCTCCGAATAAAGCGAACGATATTGCGATGATTGTCTGATGCAGATATATGTTTCACTGTCCTATGCGAAAACATCCCTTAGCAAACAGCCGTGGATACTTGAAACAGAATTGCAGCAGACAGACAGGCAGGCAGAAACAAGTGCAATGAGCACCAAAACATCTCCATGGACAAAAGTGGGATCGCACATCTGCACTAACCATTTATGGAAGTACACTCTCAAGGGGCAAAAAATTGCATGGAGGGTCGAATACGACAATACAGTATCTCGCTACGAATTTCACTTCTGCTTCACAATTCATGATAGGCTTGAAACTCTACCAATGGCCGGTTTAATTGATCAAGGCTATTGAATGCTTGAATTTCGACATAGGCGAACAGCCTGGCTACATGATTGGTTTCCATGGTTTCCCCCATATAGAATGTGAATGCAGCCAGTTTTTCTTAAAACGTGCTCCACGAAGGCCACTCTCTTTAGGCAGATAGCTCTTGTGTTCTTTGCCATATCAGAACTGTAGTAAATCTACCGCTGCTTCTTAAATTGCAGAATTTTAACAAGTCATTAGTTTTTTAATGCAGAAGTTCTGCTATTAGGTTGTACGAGACTAGCTTTCATCATTTGTTTCTTTGACTTAGAAATATGACTATAAAAGCTCTTCGGCCAGAAAACGTTGAGGCAAATTTTTGATTATTTTCCATCTTTTCTGAAGCCTCTTTTCTACGACGGGCCTTAAAATCTGTAAAATCAATGTTTTCGATATAGAGATATTTAAAATGTTTTTTAAATAACTAATGTTGTAACACTTGTGTATACACAACTTAGTTTTTGTTTACAAACCATTACTAGAGCAAGTACTGCATCGCATTTACATTTGTTTCTTGTTAAATTACAATAATTAGCTATTAGAAATTATCATTGAGTTTTCAATTAGTATTTAAGAATTTCCCTGAAGACGTCATTTATGATCTGCACTGAAATTTGCAATTTTGTTGTTATTGAAAACTAACGCAACGTATCTTTACGCATTTCTGTTTCAATTGTTGCATTTTATGTAATTCAATTTATTAGCTGTTTTTTTCTCATTCCAGAACTCTGAAATCAGTTTCAAGATGTTTTCGACGGGCATTGTCTGATTGCTCATCACGTGTTACTAATAAATTTCTTAAAATGCTTGCAAATCTTTCAAGGCTTCGTGTCTTTCCTTCGTCTCCCACGCCTCCAGATGATTCCATTCCCAATTTTAGTAGCATTAAAGTGGATTCTGATTCATTAGAGGTCTGCGAAGTCGTAGTAACTGGTAAGATTTGATTGACATTTATATCCCCACAGGCGGGTCCCAAAGATTTAAAAAACATTTAGTCTTGAAAAATCAAAATGCTCTTTTCTGTGTTAAATGGATAGCTTGAATATCTTTTGATAAGTTCAATATTTTGATCAGTTATTGTGTTAGTTATAAATTAATGATAGCAATTTCTTGATACCGTTTTAATGTTGTAATAATGAATATTCAAGAAATTAGTAATTGTTAAGATTTTAACTCTTTCGCATCGAAGTCGCCCGTAGCGCCCGTTCATTCAGGCAATGGCAAACCGCCCCAACGCCTCGTTTATTTTCTACCTAGTTCTTTCCCCTCCACGTTAGTGTATGGCTCATTGGTTTCGCGAGTTGTTAAAAGACATGTCAATCATTCTTTTGAAGCAAATAAAGGAAAAATACGGAAAGCTATTGACGTTCGCAGGTGCAACCGGCCCTAAGGTGAAACTGCACACAATGGAAGAAACCGCAGAAAAACCTCCAAGAGCAGCAAGAGGGAAAGGAAAACTATTCCAAGACAAATTCGTAAACACGAGCGTTTTCGATGTTTGTTGAAAACAGATTTGGTCGTCTCTCGATGCGAAAGAGTTAAGAACGGTTTGGAAAGAACCAAAAAACTATGAAAATTTACTAATGAATATTTTTGGTTATGTGTTTAATAACATATGAATTCAAAAATGATGACGTCGCATGAAAACTAAACCGACATTCTTAAAATATTTTTCAAAAAAATGCTACTTTATAAAATACATCATTCAATATGATCAATAGTTTGACAAACAACTAGCGACTTTTAGATAAACATTATGCTATATTTTTAACGAAGTTTCCTACAGAGAAGTCATTTTCTCTTTTTCCTACCTAATTCAAAAGGACAAAACTATGAAATTTCCATATGATAGGTTTCCAAGAAGATAAACAAAGAATTCAGTCTCAATATAAATACCGATATCCTCTCTACAAAATTCATGAAGATTCTGTAGTGTAGAAGACCTCACCTGCTGTGATTTCTGGCTTCTTTTCCCGTTGAAATTTTTAATTTTCAGAAATCTGTGAATTAATAGATTTTCATATTATTTATTATTAGATAACTTCTTTCGTTTCTGAAGATTTATGAAAGTTAAAAGATTCATTTTAAGTATAAGAACTCATTATAAAAGCATAGATTAAAGGATTAGTATTTTGTTGTCCATATTCCTAGCGAAAATAGATATCTAGAAATTTATGTCCTTAATTTATGTTTAATTGCAATTACGATATCGCGATATTTATCAAACTGATGATTTATCAAATGGATTCATTGTAAGAAAAGAGATTTATTTCTGTAAACACGATGCGCAGGTTTTTCTTTTGGACCAGTAAAAAATTAGTAAACCCCTTGTTAATTTGATTAAAATAGAAATATTCAGAAGCAAACATTCTTGTTCGAGACACATTAACTGCCATTTCTATCTCAAACTTCCTCTGCGTTAGCATATATTACATTATATAACTGTCTTATCAGTATCAAATTTTATGTGCAATGTCCACAAATTATGCATGTAAATTGTGATTATCACTAGCACCCTATTTTGGTGACGGATTAAATCTATTAGAAAGATCTGTTCCCTAAAAAACATAGCGATCTTTTATATTTCATTCATAGTAGTGTTATATTTCTTTGAATATAAGATGCCATAAGTTTTAAGAGATACCTCCTCTTTCGAAACGTTTAAACGAGGCGAGAGAAAACATCTTTTGATCAAGAATTGCTGTAGTTGTGTCTTTGCGTGGAAATATGAAACAGGCTGTAATTACCTGAAAAAAAATGAAACGATGAAATTTTATATCACTTATCGCAAAATGTCGACACATTCTATATTCATTTATGTACAAAATATTCTCGTAGGCGATTTCATATAACAAAATTTTTGACTATATTTTGAAAATAAAAATGAAAATATAGTAATTAATTATGTAGCACCGCAGATCAAGCAAAATTTACTAGATATCAAATACGTAGCATCCACTTTAATAAAATAAAAGTAAGGGGAAGATTGCGATTGTAAGGCACTATCGATTATAAGATGTACTCTCATTTTAAAACGATATTCTGAAGACTGTTTTCACGGCAGACGAAGAAATTTATCCAAGAATGCGGAACTTCTTAATTTTACACACTACACGATATATTTAAATTTAGATGCTTCCTAACTGTGCAGATAACTGATCTAAAAATATTACAATTCTGCAACATTTTATATTTTTACTAAAGATAAAATTTTCCAAAAAAGTAATTTGTTTCTGCGTTTTCATTTACTTGGATCGTACAGAAATGATTGACAAAACGGGTCTCACAACGAAACTATTATACTATGCAACAGGAAAAACAAGTGAAATAGACACAAGGGAGCATGAGCTACTCAGCATGCGTAGATGGCGCTGGCCACAAGCCGAGCGGTATAAGCGGTATATGTACCGGACCTGGCCGACATTTTTCTCCTCCACGACGTGTACAATACAGGAAAATTCGAATTAAGATGAATAAGAAAATTAGGTGAAGTTTCACTTTCACTGGCTGTTGAACTTGCATTGTCCATATCGCAGTTTGATGTCTGATTTTTATCCTTCAATATGGAGGAAAAAAATGGAGTCACACAGTTTTAAACTCTTTATGCAAACGTGACCAGCGAACCTGTTCGAACTTCGACATCAGCTTCGAGCTTTGGCGCATTTTTGCGACAGATATTTCACGCATGCGCAGCTGTTTTCCTTTTTGTTTGAAGGGAGCACTCCTGCTGCTGCGAAGTTTTCCTTCTTAACAATACATATTCTTTGTTCGAGCGGTGACAGCGACGCGACTAGCACACAGTTTGGATTGCTGTTATTGTTTCGACTAGAGTTTACTGAACAAGAGCCGTGTACCTTTGGGTATGCACAAAATGCCCTTCTTTGGACCTCCTCACGAAATATCAGATGATGAGCTAAGCGAGAGGGCCGACTCTGAACGATCCTCTAGATCAACAAAATCCCTGCAGTTTCCACTGAGGAAAAGTGATTTTTCTCTTGACGCCGACTAATAAGAAAGATAAAGAGAAGAAATCGGAGACAGAATCCGATCCGGAAATGAAGACTGAGGATAATTCCAAGACGAGGCAGGCAACTGAAACTGATATATATGAATTCAATATTGATCCGAAATTGAAAGAACTGATGAAATCGATAAAGACACATGGAGTTGATAAAGTCGTAGAAAATATTGGAAATCCTGAGTGGAGCTGAATTGCTGGAAGAAAACTAAGCATTGAAAAAACCCAGAACGGACGATGAGCAGAAAAATGAAGATGGAAATTAGATTTCCCCTCGGAAAACTGCTAAAAATATACAGACTGAAATGCCTGTGGTGATTACTAAAGAGAATCGCTTTGAAACGCTGAACTTAACAGAAGATGTACAAGGAGGAGGAGCTAGCCTAGAAGGAGGAGCTAGCCGGAAAAAAAGCGTCCCCCCACCAGATTGTTTTTCAGCAGAACAAAATTGATTAGCTAGAAATAGACACACCTTTTAGAACAGTTTGTAAAGAGGATTTGGAAGGACAAATGAAACCGAACTCAATATTCGTCTATTTTAAAACGATTAAAGAATACAAAAACATCACCAAACTACTCCAGGAGGAAAGTTATCCATATCATACATTTCAGTTAACTATCAAGAAACTACTAAGGGTTATTCTCAAGAATCTCCCAGACATCTTGACAGAAGAAGCGATTTACGATGACCTAAGCAAACGTCAGGAAATTTCTTCTTGTACGCAGAACATCCACGACAACTACACAATCCTTAAAATGAAACAATTCCAAAGAAGTAGAAAATACAAATTTGAGAAGAGCCCAATCTACCTACTGAAATTAAAGGAACATAAAGCCGGCTACACGATTCACAATTTGAACAATCAATGATTTGAACAGCGTGAACATTAAAATCGAGAAGTTTGCCTCAAAAAGAGACTAGTACACTGCTTTAGATGCTAGGAGTGGGGACACTCCCAGCATCTCTACACTCAACCGGAAAGGTGCTGTAAATGTGGGAAACAGCACAGAAGCAATCTATGCCCTTTAAAGAAAGAAGAAAAACCGATCTGTATTTTCTGCAAGGAAAATCTTGTGTGTAGTTGTCGTAGATGTTCTACGTACAAGAAGAAATTTGAAGAGAAACCTCCTCTGAAGAAGTCTGCAGAACAGAAGCCCTTTCAATACAGCAAAGATGATTGCCCGAATTTCTCAAGTAACTCTACTACAGATGAGCGAAGACCAACAAAATCTTTTTTCAACCAGGACCTTAAGAAACCAATTCCAGCAGATGATCTCAACGAAGCTGTTTCATGGCTTAAAGAAGAAACGTTCAATGATTTCCTACGAATTACTATCGAACACATAGAAAAGATAAGGAAAGCGAAGACTACGGCAGAGAAGTTGCTGCAGGATCTAGAGCCGTTACGTACTTAATGAAGTTCGCAGAAGATGAATAGTTCAACTACTCCTCTCTTGAGCAGACGTTATCTGAACTTTAACCTAATTTTCTAATTATTTTCCACTTTACAGGCACGCCTGTTCCAGCAGCAGATCTCAGGGTCAGTTCTTGGATGGGTCCACGTGACTGAAAGGCCACTGAATAGCGATGGCGGATTTTAGTGATACAGATGTATTCACAGCTTGAACGACTGCACCAGATGCTCATTTTAAGTTTCTAAGTTACGTACGTATAGTACTTGCTTGGCAGAAGTGTATTGACAAGGGCAGGGATTATTTCTAACTGATATGCTACGAATGTTTTGTTAATAAATTGTATTCCACTCTGTGGCAGCATTTGTGTCATTCACTTCTGTACGACCTTAACATCACCCGTTATTTTGAATTTATCATTATTATTATTATTATTTGATATTTGGATTTTTATATAATCTTCTTGTGTATTGTTAGATTTTCTTTTAAACAACTTGTTCTAGTTAATTTTTTTCTTTCGTATTTCATATTGTTGCAGAACAAGGAGCAACTCAGCCATCATCACTTCAAGGTAAAATTTATCTTATTATATACTACATAATCAATAATTATATTACTTCTTTACTTCATATTTCGTAAAACAATGCATTAAATTAAAGAGAAATAAAACATAGTAATTCATTGATATAAATATGAAGCGTTTTTTTCTTCAACTTCCAATGAAACAGATATAGTCAAGTTTAATAAGACTTCTGAAAATTCGGCATCTGACAAAAGTGCTTTTATAATTTTATTTTATTTATTTGCTCATTTTTTCCTAAACAATCAGTTTGAGAATTTTGTCCAAAAATCTTTATATGGCAATACAATTCTGAATTAATAATAAGATCTTAAAAATAGCAATCAAACTTAAATTTATTAAGAACTCTTCCCATTAAATACAAAATGTGAAACGAAACTCAAAATCCCAAAGCTAACTTTTGAAAACTTCTGTGTAATAAGTTAAATGTTAAAGTTATGGAAACTCTACCAGTTTTATCCATATTTTAAACATTAATCTGTTGCAAGTTTAAAATAAGCTCACTTCAATAAAATCTCAGTGTTCTAAATTAAAGAACTCCAAAGTATCGTACTGTGCATGACATTGCACTTTAATACAATAACCTGCGTCAAGATATACCCAGCAAAATGTTGCACATTCTGTAAATATTCTTGGATTCTGTAAATTTAGTTGAGAAGAATTTTGTCATCGTTGCTTCATACGGTCATGAAGATATTATTTAGGGAACAAAAAGTTATATTCAATGATGAAGTAATCGGTCTTTCAAGATACACGTTTTAGGGAACTCATAAGCTCCGCAAAGAGACTGTTTATAAAAGAAATTTTAGATTTCAGTTAAAGTTGCACTTTGGTAAATGAGCAGTGAAATGAAACTATCTTAAAATGTTTTAATGTATCATCTTTTCAAAAATATTGTCGAATGCATAAATACGTGAAGGAAAGCGTACTGCCTAAAAGAAAAAACGTTTATCGGAAAATATTGATAATAAATTATTCAGTGAAGTTATTATATTTAGACAGATATGAAAAATCTGAAAATTAAACAATTATCTGATATAGAGCTAAACGGAGTTAGAATTTTTTCATAATAAGTTTCATAATCTTGTTTCTTTAAATTCTGCATTAATTATTGAACTCCACCTTGTTGAAACAATGGCAACAACACAGCTCTTTGGTAACAAATTTTGTGAGATCTTTCATGCGACCACTGCTAGAAGAGGACAGTATTTTTAATACATAAAATATAATGGTATTGAATAGCACCGATAACCATATTCTCTAAAGCAACAATTTTTGCAGGAAACAGAATTCATTTGGAATCGTATTCATTTTGGTGACTTTTATTTTATTTTTCATTCTGGATGACTTCACCGCAACATATGAGAGATATAAAAAAAAACCAACCGAGTGTATTAATTATTTGAAAAAACAAGATTATGATTCAAACTAAGTTCCCCCTTCAAAACCTCCTGCATTGTTTTGCTGGCATTGTTGCTGCATTGTTTTGCTGTCTTTCGAAAATTCTGCTCATATTATTCTGCATTATATTCAGTCTGTGGATTTTCTTAGAGAGAAATCTTCTAACTAATAGCTTCCAGTAAAATTTAGATATATGTGCAGAGTTATTTTCTAAATTTGCAAAATTTTTCTCAGACGTTTCGATAGGTTAAGCTGCTTCACATATCTTAACAAAATAAAATTTCATTTTGAGAAATAACCTTTTCCGATTGGCCGTAGAATGTAAAAGCCAAATATGCACGTCCAGTCATACCCCTTTTTCCTTAAACATAAAAATATTACTATTAAGCTTAAATATAATTCTTCCTCGCAATGCATCCTAGAAAACACTATGATTATTGCTTTTTTTTTTTTTTTCAGAATAGCATTCTTTGCAAATAAATGCTTTGAATATCATTAATATTTTGATTTAACTCATTTACAATCATTTTTTTATTTATAATAAGGGAATATTATAAATTATTGTAATGTTTACACTGATTTGATATTCTGTTTGTTGCATCTTGCCCCTGTTCTATATATATATTATTATTACCGAAAACTTGGGTTTCATTCTCGTTCAAATATAAATACAAGCAAATTAAAATTAAGGAGGCTCATAAACCTTAAACCCCTTATGATCTTCGAATATGTGACTGTTGCAAGAATTGGGATAACTTATTTATTTTAATAGCCATTACTTCCAACCTTTTACAGCTGACTACATAATATAGCTGCTTTGGAAACTAGTAACAAGAAAGTTTCTGTTGCCACAAAAGGTTTTGTAATTTAATCCTCTTTGTGACAAAATATTTCGCCACGTTTCCACCTTGCGCGCATGATATTTTAAAAATGGCTAATGGTACATGCTTTAATTTGATGGAATTTTTATATGGGCACTATTTTCTAACTGAACCAAATCTGTTGAAATATTTTAATACTAATATTTATGGACGAAAAACCTTACAATTTTTTTTAATAAATACATAAACTCACTCAAAATAAAATAAAAATTTAAAATGAAATTTTTGTAATTTTAGGTCCACAGTAGTCTCCAAATGTTATAAAAGCTATATATTAAATATGGAATTAAATTATGCAACAGACGTTTTTAAACTGTGCGCGCAAGTTGGAAACAGGACGAAAATGTTGTCACAAAGCGGATTAAATTATAAAAATATTTGTGGCAACACAAACTTTCTGATGACTATTTCAGAAAGCAGCTATATTATGTAGTCAGCTGTAAAACGTTGCTAGTAATTGCTTTTAAAATAAATAAGTTATCCCAATTCTTGCAACTGTCACCTATTCGAAGATCTTATGGGTTTTAAGGTGTATGAGTCCCTTTAAGCCAATATAAATACAAGCCAGAATGCTCCATACAAGGTTTCTCTACCACATTGTTGCGAAAGGCCCAGCGGCAATGAGATAGCTTCCCTGCAAAGCGAAGTTGCAAAACAGAAAGTGGCAGGGAAAAGTAGGACTGCCAGATGTTGCGCCAAATCGTCCATTTGTCGATATCTGGCGACAAAATTGGCCGTATGTCACAGACGGAGCGAGAAAATTCTAGAACTCATTCTTTGCGGTTTTCTCGGGAATATTCTCAAAGGTAGGTTAAAGCTCTATATACCCTGCCAGTACGCGGAGAAAGTGGTAGAGTATCTTGAGTTCAGAGATTAACTTGAGAGCGATCGACCGAGTCGGGAGCTGAAATTTATTGCTTTGCCATGAAGCTGTCTTCAACATTACAGCCTGAAGGTTGTGCTGCTGATTGTTTCAGTGTATTTATTGTAGTTTTTCGATGCCTGTACACTTGTCTTTGGAACTGTCATGTGTAATACTGGTGAAAAAATTGTGTTTTATCCACGAACCCGTACAAAGCAACAATGTGCAGAGAATCCTTGTATAATTTTCGACTATCAATCATAAGCGGATTTTTTTGTCTTTGTTTTTACATTTTATATATTTGATATAAAATAATTTTCCTATATAGATCATTTAAATATTTATTTATATTATTATATTTGATTTTTGCATTTTTATTTATTGATATTATATATATACTCTTAATATTAAATTAAGTATAAAGAAATGTTTAAATTCTATATTAAGTATTTTCTTCGCATTTAAACTTCTTTGTTCACTAATGATTCTAGCTCCGAATATTATGAATATAATATTTTTTCTTTAATTTTAAAATGTTGTCCCTTTTTTTTTATTTCAGAATGTGTTCCAGTCTATTTTTGTAAGTAGCCTTTATACTGTAACACTCATTTCACAAAAGTCAGCATTTATGCAAAATGTGGTATTGCAAATTGCCATGAAATTGAAGTATACAATTTTACAACCTTTTAGCCAACAAAAATAAATTAAATCACGATTATAAATTCATATTTTACTAAGCATAAATGCTAAAATTTGGAATAAATATATTTAAGGACCTTTAATTCTTCAAAAGAGCTGTATTCTATTCTATATATTTTGCAGTGTTAAAGCTATAGGAGTAGTTTTTATCTATTCAGTATACGACATTGCTCTTGCTATAAGTAATAGAGTAAGAGACAAGGTTTCTATTTAAATACAGAGTGTAGGAGAAAATAAACGGTATTCTTAAAAATTTCGATGGATGATCTGCTGTCATCGAGTGATATAAAATACATTTTGATACAAAGTACATTATTACAATGAAAATGGAAAAGGTAACTTTTAAATAGTTTAAGTAACAATAATTAAAAATTGAAATGACTCATGCAAATTGTCAGTTTTTACGAGAATAAATCAAATTACGTGTATTTAATGTCAAGAAATTGCTGACCAGAAGTAATGCATGGCAATAGTGTATTGTTTTGTCTTGAAATGAAAACACCTTTTTATGAAATTTATTACCAGTTACGTTACCTTTGGGCTTACCACTCACGTATTCACAACAAAAAAAAGTGGATTTAAGCCACTAAAGGCTGTGGCTTGTGGCTTAAATCCACTAAAGGCTGTGGCTTAAAACTTAAGGCTGTGGGCCTTCTCGCCGTCGTTGAGCTGCAGATCTTGGCGCCACTGATTTCATTACCAGTAAACATAAGCTTAGCAGCATACATCGAAACTCAGAAGAGTTGTAAAAGAATGCTCATCTCATTTAATTATGAGTACCAACATTTGTGTTTAAGATTCAATTAAAAAAATAAATATTTATATCCTGAATTATCAAAAATGAATATAATTTTTCTCATATTAACTTAATTACTTAACACCGATATAACACTAAAATTTAATTCATTGTATTCTTAAAATGCAAATGCGCTGGTAAGAACTTATGCTAAAAAATTGCTTTTGAAGTGGACAAGAATAAGGTGCCTCGGAGAGCGTTCTTATCTATAAAAGTGATCCTCATATGAAAATAATTTGAAAAGCGCTGGCTGTATTAAACCATGCCACTCATAAAAGTATAGGACATGCAGGCATAAATTCAAATTGCTCAATTAGACATGACTATTATAACTAATAGTTTACGGTTTACTTATGCATACATGGTAATCACCTGTGTAGTTAATTTAATATTTAAAACAATTCGATGTAATATGATATTTAAACTTCTTCCTCTTATTGTTCAGTTTGATCTATTAAAATACCTACGAATTAGAGTCTACGAAATTTTGGAATAAAACAGTTTTGCCAAAAATGGGGGATTTTTATATGTAAATAAATAGGGCATATAAAAAGTATATTAGTTTATTATAAAAATTTGTAAATATATTAATAGCTCATATTATATGAGATATATATATCATGAACATCTGATACCAGCAGAAAGTCAGTAAAATGTTACGTACTTTCTAATACACAACGTATTCAATGATAAATAATGAATAAATTTCTCGTTTTCATTTACTTCTCAGAAATACAAATCTGAAGTTGATCGCTACAGCAAAATATGTATTTCAAAGCGGATTTTCATAGGATAATTGTGGCTGTGTTCTGCATAGCATATTTTAATCACGACCAATTTCATGTGAATTGCATTTCATCGTTGTCGAGAAATTTCATTTAAGACAACATGGAGAAAATATAGTATATCGTGGAAATGTATAATATTGTTACGAAATGTACAGGTGTGGTAAGATGGCTTTCTCGCAAAGCAGTTTTTAGGGTTGCCACATTTGGCGAAAAATTGCCCATTTCGCGATATTTGGCGACAAAATTGGCGATATGCCATGGACGGATGGAGAACCTTCTGGAACGAATTCTTACCGGTTTAGCCCAGAATATTCTCGAACACAAGCCAAAAGCTATATAAACCCTGCTAGTCCGCAGTCAGTTAGTGTGTGTGCCTCGTCGAGAGGGCAAGTGAGTGTGTGCCTCGTCTAGCGAGCTGATAGTTAGTCAATGAGCGAGTGTATCGAAGTCTAGCGCCCAGTTGGTCATCGAGATAGTCCTTTAGGGTATCGAGAATAAGTGCATAGTCGAGTTTTGTCTTAGACTGTGCTGAGTCGAGAGCTATACTCTTCTGTATCGTCGAGTACATCGCGAGTTGTAGCCTGAAGAGTCTCGAGAGTACGTGGAGTTCCGAGAATGACCAAGCAGAGTCGGTAGCTGTACTCTGGTGCTTTGCAGTGAAGCTTGTCTCCACCGTTATTGCCTGACAGAACAGTTCGACGACTGTAAAAGGGATTTTGGAGCTATCTGATTAATATTGGTAAAGTGTGTTTCGATACTTCATCAAGTGTCGTCATTATTCACTCCAAATCTACGAACCTGTACGAGCGTGAACGAAGAAAATAACGTAACAACTGGTGTCAGAAGAGAAAAACGCAACACTATAAATGAGTGCTGCAGGAATGCACCAAATTTAGCAAGTTATCCCTAAATGTGCAAACCAAATTGGACACATCGGATATTCGGGGATAATGAACGTAAGAATAACTTAAAGAAGTTGAAAATTGCAAGGTCCAAGCCGAAAAATTTCTTTTTATCCCATTTTCTATCCAAGTGAACAAAATATATCATGCAATAAGGTAAATTTAGCATTTGGGATTTTTTTGACAACGGCTTTCAAGCCAGAGGCTAGAACACATATGTCCCAGCCGTGGTTAATGGTGGGATTCATATGCCCTCACACGTACGAAGCGACTTGCTATAAGTACAACTTTTATTCTGGAAAACTTTGCTACATGAAATAGATTTTACATCGTACGGTACAGGACAAAGCATTCTTTGCATAACCCAACATTACACATTGGGCAACTCATTTTCTTTATGTTCATTTATGTGCAATGAGCACAGTGTCGCCTTGATTTTCCAGTTATTGGAAGATAATCCCCAACATTGAGGAGATTCTAAGTACTTTTTAACCCAGCAAATAATAATGAATAAAGGCTTTGTTTGAGAATACGTTTAATAGATGAACAGCAATTTGTCACAATACAAAGTTAATAAGAAAAGAACCCAACTGAGTTATGTGCATCTATAATCCGTGATGAGGATAATTTTTAGTAATTTCTCTTCAATTTTATTAAATCGAAATGTCTTCAGATGCCAAGCTATAGCAATAGATAAAGAAGTTCATAATTATTTTATATGAACGTATTTATTTTTTATTTATGCGCCGAAGAAAAATATGTTAAATAAGAGAAATAATCTAGCTTTTCATAATTTATTCTCGAATTTTGTTCCACTTGGAACGTTTCCTCTGAAAACGTTAATGCTTTCGTAGTTTGTTTATCTTTAATTCAAATTAAACCTGTTCGAAGTATCAGAAATGAATCTCAATTTGTGAATTTAAAATTTGACTGTCGGTATATTTGAACTGCATAGGGGAACCAACAAAGTTATCTTGCAGATACCAAACTTTAGAGTTCAGATAGAAATTACAGAAATCTTTGAATTGTTTCTCATTTTGGTATTATTATTGTTATTTATTATTGTAAAAAATGTCTGGCCTAGCAGATGCTTTTAGATTGTGCCTTCTGCCCGCACGCTATTTGAGTTTGACACCTCTGCTATAGTTGTATGTGTGGAAATGTGTCAGTTCTTCCTCATATCCTCATAGTTGAAGATTTCGTTTTAATTACGTTATTTTTAATACCTTTCTAACTATGGATTTGAACGGCAATATCTTGCCTCTGTGGCATTACAGTTATGAACATCACAGTATGAAATAGATTCTTAAAAATATTATGTAAGTCAAGATACAAATTTTTTGTAATCTTCATGTTTTAAATATTTTGTTTTTATGATTTTATGAAAATAAAAGAACCGTTTTTCTTATCTCTCTTCTAATAATTTTGGATTAGTAATAATAGGGCATTTATATTTTTGTTTTAGTTAATAAGGGCCAAAAAGTAACTGTTATAAAGCGTTTCATCTGTCAAAGTGCAGAAATTTCAGAATGGTACGCTGGGATGCATGATTGCACCAAACAAAAAACGATGAAAATTGGAATGAAAGATCCATATAGTCTAACAGTTGAAAAGTAAGAAGTTTATTTTTGCTGTCAAATATTTTCATTATTTTTTCCATGATTCAGTTGTACCTCAGTTACCATCACTTTTTAAAAGTTACTTTAGAAGTTTTATCCTTTAGAAGTTAATTGCGTACAGTTTGTTTAAAAATTAAGTTTCAAAGTTAAGTTACTTGCTAAATCTTCCACATAAAATCAGACTTAGTTCAGAATTTTAATAATGTTCAAAACTTTAATAATTTTAAAATAAAAAGTATTGCATTTTATTCTAATTACCTAATGAATTATAAATGCCACATTTAGCTGAAATCAGTTAGAGACATTTAGTTACACTTAATTGGATGTCAAAAAACATCTTAACATATAAATCATTTTTTGGAAATGCTATTAAAAATTAGCTTAAAATTTACATTTTAAATTATAAAAAAATTCCGTATAAGATCTTTAAAGATTTTTTATTTTTTATTTTTAAAAAAATTTCTTTTGTAAAAATGATATAAATAACAGCTTCTTATAGACTATTTATAGATTAAAATAATGCAAAAGAATTAATAGCCATTTGTGGTTATAATCGCAAGACAGTTAATTAACTACATTCGGCATCGCTTTAAATATGATAACAATGTTACCTTTACTTGTTAGACTTTCCATCAATTATCACGCTGCTTTAACCAGGGCTATATGTGCTGCAACTATACTGCTAATTGGTATTCATTAAGTTGCTTGTTATCGGTAATGGTTTACATTCAAGGACCATCAAGGTTCCCGGATGTAAAATTTTGAATTCGCCGTGCCAGCAACAAACTATGTGTTATCACAGATATTACGCAAAATTGCTTTCAAAATGTTCCATTGCTTAGGCTAGGGTCATTGCATCTTGGTTAGACTAGACCCTAACTAAAAGATACTTCTTTAGACAATTGTACAGCACATTCATATTCATAATACATTCATAGTATCTTCTAGTGAAAGGTATGCATTTGTTCTCTACCTCCCATCAAACTATACTTCACTAATATAACCACAGGACAAAAATGTCATTCGTTCAATGAAGTATAAATAACGAAGTATAAATGCAAATGCAGTGTAATATGTCGCCGCTATATGAAGTCTATACAAATATGAACACTGAAAAAAATGGATGGTTTGATATTTACTTCTTATTCTAACACAGATATTAAAATAATTTTGCAAAGGTTAGAGACTACAAGAAAAGCACCTTAGATAGGATTTTCTTGCTTACGTTAAAGACATAACTAATTCTGGTGCCAAAGAGATTAATCAGAGATAAAAAGAAAGTGTTTTAACAAAATGGGACGATGTTGATAATAATGTGCTTATGGTTGATCATTACACTGATTCTGAAGTTGTAGATACCTTTCAAGTGCCAGTAGAAATGCTTTTACAACTAGTGATGAAGATGAAAGCAATGAGTAAAATGTGAGAGGAACAATCTCTGCTGGCAGGTTAGTTATAGATGAATTGCTGCCTGGACTAGAGCAACAAAGCTTTGAGGAAGAAAATCGTTCGTGTTTACTTGTTGAAAGATAAACTTATTAGGAAATTATTTAAGTATACGAAGTAACAAACACTGCGCGAATATTAAAAAAACAATAGGTTAAAGGCAGGAAGAAGCCACAGCAGTGTCCACACTTCACAGTCCGCTACCGTCATCTTCAAGTCCACCAGATGTGCTGTCACAACTATCTTCCAGGAAGTGAATAAGCCTTTTGCTGAGTATGCTGTTACTCCCAGTCGTAAAGAATAATTAACCTGACAAATCAAATATTTAGTTTGTTTCGAGGTTATAGTATTGATTATAATTCTAAGGCACTATTTTACTCAACTGGATTAAAAGTCTGAGAACATGTTTTTAATTAAACATTCTAAATTACTGTTTTAGTTAGTCGAAATGAAATTCTGTAGGATTATTTTGTTCAGACTAAATTTTCTGTAGAACTGTTTTATTTAATTGGTGAATATTAAATCTTTATTTGGTTTTCATTTATTAGTAACCATAAAAATAACCATAAAAAATTCTGGCACTGATCAGGTCCGAAAGTTGTTGGATGTTTTAATGTCGACATGTGTTGTCTTATTTTGCTTATTCCTGGACGAAATGATTCCATTGAAAGAGAAATGTAAACTGTAAAATGTAACTGAAAAGATATCGTAATTTTATTTTCGGCAATCTACAATTCCAGTAATTCATCCACTTTTGAACAAAAATGAATTAATCAGCTCGAATTAAAGAGCATTTCATCTTAAGCTTCATTAGCGTTTCGATGTTTCACAGATATGCATCAGAAAATAAGTCCTCAAGAAAATTCAAAAAGCATTCCCAACAAAAATGCTCGTGATTTAAATGAAAAACAAAGTAATAATAATAAAAGCAGCTTTTAAGAATTTAAAGTCATAGAATTTCATAGATAAATCCAATTAAGTCATTAATTTTTAGGAAAGTTCCGATGTGGATCAGTGGTATAAAAATTCTAAGAATAAAACAAAGCCGTTTCAAGAATCGTTTTGATTTGCAACATCGGTAGGTTTTCAGTAAATGAATGCAAAGTTTAGTGTTAAAAACATAACTTGAAATCATAATAGGCTAGAAATCTGTAAGTAGAAAACAGAACTGAAATATCGAGGAATAGTCTCTAAACTGAGAACATGAACAACAGTGTACGGAGTTTTTGCATTTTACAGCCATCTCAGGCTAAGTCAAAAAGCTTTAATATTTATTGTTAATAAATTTTTATCATGTACAATATATTGCTGTTTTCAGTGATATTGTTATGAACAAATTTATATAATAATTTTTATTTTATTTTTCAGGATTTTAAAAATAGCTAAGGAGTGTTCGGAAAGTGGTATTATCTTAAAGTGCCGTCCCAAATACCGGAGAGAATTTAGATCATTACTGGATTTGTTTCTACAGCTGACAAGGAAATTTTCTGGTTAGTATTGCATGAGCAAATAATACATTGCGCAGGTTCTCATAAATGCCAACACTTGATTTATATATCTGCTGAGTATAGATTCCATTTTGAACGGGCAGTATCATTACACTAGTGTTCAAAATTAAAAGATTTTCATATTACTTGATTATCTTCACTTTTATATTGCTCTACTATCTAGGTTATCTACTTATAAAAAAACCCAAATGATATGCGGTACGGGCATAGCTTAATAGGTAATGATACCAAAATAAGTATCATACAACAGTCATAATGCACGTGCGTATGATTCATAAGCGTATGTATGTCTCAAACAGAAGTTGCAAGATTGAACAAAAGTCGACGCTAATAAGGGGTATAATCTCCTAACAGCCATATAGCTCTCACAACGAAATTTCATACTAGAAATGATGCAGTTTATATGTCCTTGTAGTGGGATCCGAGTAGTCGTCAGGGTATTTCTCGCAAACTGAGAGCCTCAACAAATTGAACGACGTTGTGGTTCGGATCTGTAGACGTCCAAACCTAAGATCGTCCATTATGATAGATTAGCTCCATTGGCCATACTGCATAGCGGTTCTCATTTTTAGGAGTACCTATAATTCGTATAAATTAATTTGTGTACATAACTTGTACGTAGGTTACTTGTAAATAGTTATTCATTTTATTTTTGTTTCCTTCACTTCTTTGTAATGTTACCTTTTTGATTGTTTTGTTTGTTTTACTGAATTCGGCTTCTGACCAAGAATTGTATTGCTTGGGACGTGCGGTTCTTAGAAGGGGGCAGTGTTGCAAATGCCCAGCTGTGGTGAGATAGCTTCTCCACAAGGCGTTGCTAGGGTAACCAGAAAGTGACAGGGAAAGGCAAGGTTGCCAAATTTTGTCGCTAAGTAACGCCAAATGGTCAATTTTGCGCCAAATCTGGCACCTCTGCCGCTTTCTGCCAACCCTAACTCCGCTTTGCGGGGAAGCTATCCCACCGCAGCTGGGCGTTTCGCAACAACGTATTTTAGAAGTAGCTTTAAAATCTTTCATAATTACTCTTGCGTATACATCTTTACGTATATTTCAACTACCTTCTTGATAATCAGCTATTAAGTTTTTAAAAACATTGATAACAAGTTTTCGTGGTTTTCCCCATGTGTAAGGTGTATACGCGCCAGTTTCCCTTAGAAATTCCTCCACGGAGGCATCCCTTCCCTTAGTCAGATAGCCCTAGTGTGCTTTGCCATAATTAAATAAACCAAACCAAACATTGATAAGAAAAAAAAGAAAAAAGAGAACTTCCTCTCTAAAATTATCCGAACATAAAGTTTGAGAAAATTTCATGAATAACGATTCTTTTCAAAATAAATTTCATCAGATGTTTTAGCTTAAAGTTATTCAAGGATGTTAACTGTAATTTAATAAGTTGATCAACAGAAGGATAACATCCTCCTAGCCATGAGGCATACAGTTCTTTGAGAATTTCCAAATTAATACGTTCCAAATTAATAATTTCAAGTACGATTTATTTTTATTCAACTTATTATAACATTTTGTCTTCTGTAACTAAATTCAAATTTACAATTTTTTTGGGGGTCATTTTCCTCTTTTTATTGCTATTTCTCAGAATACTAAATCAAGAAATCAAATCTGTGAAAAGTGATAACAGTTTATAATAAGCAATATTATTCAATTTCTGTAGACTATTAGACTTTCGGAGTCAGAAAACGGGCTAATTGAACTCCCTCCCTCTTGTTCAAAACACGGTTCTTCCGATGTTAACTGGATGGGCACCACAGCATCTCGAAGGTAGTTTACACATTTTCGAAGGAATCTTGCACTACAGCAGCGCACAAAGACACATGTGTCTTTGTTTCTTTAATATGTAGAGTCATTAGGTTACTTTGAAGCAGGAGGCGGGAAAAATGTGCATCGTCTTCAATGGGACTCGAACGCTAAAACCCCGAGAATACGCGCCGAGTATGCTTCCAATTACACCACAAAGGCAGGCGAACAGGAAGGTTTGGTTTGTGTGATTATGGCAAAGCCTTGGGGGCTACCTGCCTAAGGGGAGAAATGCCTTCGGGGAGAACTTTCTAAGTATGGAAAGGAGAAAATATCCTAAATATTCCTCCTTCTAAAGGGCGACTGGGGATTAAGGGACCTCATCGCCAAATCCTGGTGGTCACGAATTATCCTTCACCACTATTTAATTCAGATGCTGCTTGTAGAGTCATTAGTTTTTTTTTTTTTTTTTAAGGTGAAAACTGATCAATACCCTCACCGGGATTCGGACCTGGACCTCTCGAATACGCGACGAGTGTGCTACTGTTACAACACGAAGGAAGGCAGAAAGAAGGGGGAAAATACCTTATAAATTTGTGGCAAAACACTCTAGGGCTGATGGAAAGGATGCCTTTGTGAATGACTTTCTTAGGGGAATTGGCTCGTATACGCGTTGCACACGGGGAAAACCACGAAATAGCCTATGCAGCCAGCAATTCACCGGAATTCGAGCCCCGGACCAAATTAAAATTGTTCAGCGACTTTACCGCTCATTGCTGGTGGGTCTCATAATAAGATATGCAAGCCTCCTGTTGCAGTCTGAGCTAAATTTACAAGCGTATTAAGAGGACTCATACACCTTAAAACCCATGAGATCATCGAATATGTGACTTTTGCAAGAATTAAGATAACTTATTTATTTTAAAAGCAATTACTTCCAACTTTTACAGCTGACTACACAATATAGTGCTTCTGAATACAAGCCTTCTGTGAGTGACACAACATTTGATAATTTTAAATATTCCGCTTTGACAACATTTTCGTCCTGCTTCCCCTTGCGGCGCACAGTTTTTACAATATTTTGTTGCGTACGTTAATTCATATTTAATAATAGCTTTTTTATAACATTTGGGGGGGGGGGGGGGGGGAACTCCGGTGAACTAAATTTCTAAATTTCTAAGATTTTATTTTAAATTTTTATTTTATTTGAAGTTGAGTTTTTATAAATTTATTTTATTTAAAATCTGTTATGTATTTCGTCCATCAAATTTTTTAATATTAAAATATTCATCAGAGTTTTTGGTTCGTGAAAAATAGTGCCCATATAAAGAATTCCCCATCAATTTTCATTTATGTATACATTAGCCATTTTTAAAATTATCAATGATATGCTCGCAACGTGGAAACTGGCGACTATTTGTCACAACAAGAGAGTAAATTACAAAACTATTTGTGGCCACACAAACTTTCTGGTTACTAATTTTCCAAAGCAGCTACATTATGTCGTCATCTGTAAAAGGTTGGAAACTAAATTGCTTGTAAAATAATAAATTGCCCAAGCTGCAACAGTCACATATTTGAAGATCATGAGGGGTTTAAGGTGTATTAGCCCCCTTAAATTTTACAAAAAAAGAAGGTTAAAGATACTCGTATCAAGTAAAGAATACAATTAAAATATCGTCTGAATGAATCCATTGAATGCCCGGTTTCTTTCTTTTACAATATAATGAAGATCACGAAATTCTTTGCTCATTTGTAGTAAAATTTTGTAACTTATATGTTATCAGTTTGTGCTTTTGCCCCCGATTCTTATTCCTAAATGTACTGTTTAATATTTTACGTATATTTTCAGTGCGACCTGAGAATGGAGGGTGTCATGACGCATTGGTAATCAAAAACATCTTACCATGCATATATACTGCTCATAAATATATGATTTCCACTCAAAAAGAATCAGCTTTGAAAGCGTAAGTACACCTCGGGTAAACCCATAAGCTCTCAAACCATTTCCAGTCTTACCAAATGATCATTTAAAATATATGTCAGATTGTATTAGATGTTGAATGTAAAAATACGTTCTTACGCGTTTAACATATATTAGTAGTACAACGCTGAAGCCACGAATCTGAGAAATTGTTGTTTTAAGAAAACGTGTTTGAAGTTTTGACACTTTAGATTAATGTGAAACTAAATGGTCATTAAAAATTATACGTTAGGTCAGGGACGGGCAAACTACGGCCCGCCGGAAGGTTCTATCCGGCCCGCGGATTTTAATTTGCCGGTCTGAGGCAAATTAAAAGAAATACAAGTATTTATATATTATATATCCATCTCCTTTTTTACTTCGTTTAAATATTTTTTTTCTTCCTTTTTTTCAAAGGACTGATGGTATTTTTACTTTCTATATTTTTGTTCTACAGAACATAAATTGAACGAAATAGCAAGCACAGACAGCTTTCAATTGGTAAAGTGTTAAAAGCGGGAAGTTCTTTGTTAGTTATAGCTGTAGATTGGCGCCAACAAGCGTTATTGCTTTTTCGGGGAGCAGACATACGGGAATCTAATTTAGGTGAATTACACCTCACATGTGGCAGACTGCGCCTTTTTTTAAGCTCCAGCCAGCGGCTTTTTCTTTTGGCGCGAGTTCTAATATTACTGATTGCGAATGGAAAGACTACGCACATTAACATCATTGTGAATAATAGTGAAAGTAATTAAAAGTATAGCGGAGCTAGTGCTTGTTTGGGTTATTCGTAAAATATTTCAACGCAAAGTTGATTCAGAATGCCATTCTTTTAATGATGAATGGACTTGGAAATACTTTTTTACAGTTGTAAAAGATAAACCAGTGTGTGTGTAGTTTATGTTGTCACATTGTTTTTGTACAGTCTTCAAAGAAATACTTCCGTCATTTAAATTAGATAAGATTCAATAGATTGCAATGTCGAATGAAGAAACAAATGCGAAAGTATTTGTAAAAAATTCAGCCGACAAAATTTTCAAGAAGTAAACAGTATCCGATGTCAGATTCAGTACCATTAAAAAAGAAGTGCTCTTTTACCTGCCTGTCAAGTAATTGTGAAGCAGTGTGTTCAGATTTGCAACTTGAATTAATTGAGTTGCAATCTAACAATCATCTCAAGCAGATGCATTTACAAATATTATCGAAAGTAAGTTTCCCAAATTTTTATATCTCACGCCCAGAAAATCAGTGCTATGTTTGTTTCATATTATAAGTGTTTCAACTATGAACCTTAGAAAGAATTATTTCAGAAGTAGACTGAGAGATGAGCATTTAGCCTCGTTCCTTAGAATAAGTACATCTCACTTCGAACCTCAATAAGGAACTTTAAAAAGAAAATGAAATCGCAATTTCATGCATCTCATTAACATATTTAAATTGTAATACTCGTATATTGTTTTTAAAATTTTAGAAATATTTATCTGGGCCCACCAAACATTTTTTTTTTTTTTTTCGATTTTTGGCCCGAGATCGAAAATGTTTGACCATCCTTGCGTTAGATCATATTGAATGTTGTATGTGAAAATATGCTCTTACTTATTTAACATATATCAGTAATACCATGCATTAGTCTCAGCAGTCCCCACCACACACCAATTTCCATGTTCTGGTCCTTATTTCAATGTTCCTCGTTTCGTGGCCAATCTCCGGAGGACGCAGTACGAAGCTCTTTAAGTATGTTTATTCATGTATTTATTTTTAATTCCATCGACGGGATCCAACAGGCTGAAAAAGCACCTAACCCAGTGGGCCAGCCGTTTCGTCGATGGTGAAAAGAAAAAAGTAATACCATGCTAAAACCACGAATCTGCAAGATCATTGTTCTAAAAAACGTGTTTGAAGTTTTGACACTTGAATTAGGTTTAAACATAAAAACATAATTCTAAAGGATTATGAAAATTCCAAGTTAGCTTTAGAGATTAAGTTCTAGAAGATGAATTTGGGTGAGAAACGGGGGAAAATACAACATCTGGTGTTCCGTCTATGATGTATCTATTACTCTCCATATTATCAAAATTTCATCTTTTATTTTTATAAAAGAAAGATTTTAATTTCGGTAGCTATTGGCAACTTTTCACATACTGGCTTTGTCATTTTATTGTTAATCTTAAATTCAGGCTAGCGAATGAAGAAAAAAAAAGACTTCAAAAATGTAACAAAATCAGAAACTGATACGGAAAGGATTTCTTTGAGTGGGATTTGAACTCAAAAATATTGTGTCTTCAGATAAAAAAATGTTTAAGTCTTCGAAATCTTTGATTATTCTTTCTTAATGTTTATTTGAAATTTGCTGGAGCATGCGTGCTCTCATTATTATAGCAGGTGCGAAGGTTTCCGCAGGATAAGTGAAAAATAAAATGCGATGCTTTAACATTTAGGCAAAATTAATTTAACAAAAGGAGTCATCTGGCTCTACATATTGGTTTACATATGAAGTCGTTCGATTTAAATTTAATTGTGTAGTCTTTGACTACTAGTCTGCGTTTTAAAATTGAATTCGACTGTTACTTTAGTTCCATCACTACAATTGGTAATTGATTTTGTTGAGCCCAAGAAATGCATTTATGTTCCGTTTTCAAAAAAAGAACATCTGTTTAAATCTTTTCAAGTCTCTGCTGTTATTTCAGACACAGCAATAATTCTCTGTATGGCTATCAGAATTTGGATCCATTTTATGCTCCCAAAGTAAGTCAAACTCAATGGATTTTAAAATAGGTCCCATGACGGATCATTTCGCAAGATCAGAAAACTTTTATCTGCCTTATTGTGAATGCACGATTTTCCGTAAAGCACTTGAGCATAATATTAATTTCTCTGCTAAAGCCCAAAGTTATGAACTTGTAAAGAAATCTATTATACCAGACGTGATCGAAGGTTTTTGCTATGTCTAACATAAGAAATAAGGAATGATGTTCAGTTTTTGTTACGGATAACCGTTCCGAGGAATTCCGTTAAGTCTCCCAAGCTTTGTCAGTTCGTACTTACTCATTCGGAAAACCGTACTGCTCCTTAGAGCTGATTAAAATAAGCTTCCCTAGAAGTTTTCTCCATCCATAGCGAATGGTATCTGGCCGATAGCTCTCATCCTTTCCGTGTTGGTGTTGCCAAGCGCAAGCACATGACATTCATCGTAGCAAGGAATCAAATACCCCTGTCGTTGGCAAGAGGCTTAACAGCACCAGTTAGGTGACAGCTCGGTAGCTCTCATCTTTTCCGTGTTGTTGTTGTCAAGCATAAGCCCATGACATTCATCGTGGAAAGGAATCAAATGCCCATGTCTTTGGCAACAGCCTGAACAGCACCAGTTAGATGACAGCTCAGTAGCTCTCATCCTTTCCGCGTTGCTGTTGTACAGCACAAGCTCATGACATTCATCGTAGCAA